CCCCCCCGGAGGACGCGGGCGCCTGGCGTTCCACGTCCCCTCGGCGGCCCAAGGACGGGAGATCCCTCACCGATCTCTGGCCGCCGATGCAAGACCCGTCAGGTCTCGGTTCACACCCAGGGCGGGGAGGCATTTTAGCCACCACCCTCCAGCTGGCCACCCTCCGGCCGGGATCCATCCTCCTTCTCGCAGCATTCGCCCATGTACCTCACCCTCGGCCCCGCTTGTCAACCTTTTTTGTCCGGGTTCCCCCCTATCCAGCCTCTTGCCCTGCATTAACATCCAAGTCACACGGAATCGCAGCCTGCCTCTTCCCTCCCCCCTTTCGTCCAGCCATCCCCGCACATACCACCATGATCCCCGCCCTCAACCGCCACCTCGTGAATGGCACGCGCGCTGCCGCTCCGACCATCGCCTCGCGGCTCATGGCCGTCCGGACCATGTCCTCGGCCTCCGACGCCCCGAACACCGGCGGCTTCCAGACGGTCACCATCTTCGGGTCCGGGCTCATGGGGTCCGGCATCGCGCAGGTGGTCGCCGCCGCCGGGCTCAAGGTCAACCTGATCGACACGCAGCCGGCCAGCCTGGAGCGCGCGCAGAAGAGCATCACCTCCTCGGTGCAGCGCGTGGCCAAGCGCCAGCATGCGGAAAACCCGGAGGCCGTGGCCTCGGCCGTGTCCGACATCATGTCCCGCATCCACATGTCCACCGAGCCGGACGCGGCCATCCGTGAGGCGGACCTCATCATCGAGGCCATCGCCGAGAATCTGCCGGCCAAGCTGAGCCTCTTCCAGAAGGCCGACCAGCTGGCCCGGCCGGATGCGGTCTTCGTGTCGAACACCTCCTCGCTGTCGATTGCCGAGATGTCGCAGGCCACTTCGGCCTCGCGCCGGGCGCACTTCGCCGGGCTGCACTTCTTCAACCCGGTCCCGGTCATGGGCCTGGTGGAGGTCATCCACACCGCCGACACGGAGCCCGCCACGCTGGACCGCCTGCGCACCCTCTGCAAGGCCATCGGCAAGCGCCCGGTCAGCTGCCGTGACACCCCGGGCTTCATCGTCAACCGCCTGCTCGTGCCGTACCTCTTTGAGGCGGTGCGCATGCTGGAGCGCGGCGACGCCTCGGTTCCCGACATCGACGCCAGCATGAAGCTCGGTGCCGGCCACCCGATGGGCCCCTTCCAGCTGGCTGACTATGTTGGCCTGGACACCATCAAGTTTGTTGTGGACGGCTGGTCCGCCAAGTACCCGGATGTTGAGCTTTTCCGCCCGTCGGAGCTGGTGCGTGCCTGGCGTCCCCCGGGGTGGGTCCTTTCTCGGCCCTCGCCAGCCAGTCCCCATATGTTGTCCCTGCTCTCTCTCTCTCTCTCTCTCTCTCTCTCTCTCTCTCTCTCTCTCTCTCTCTCTGTCTCTCTGTTTCTCTGTTTCTCTGTTTCTCTGTTTCTCTATTTCTCTCTCTCTCTCTCTTGTCTGCTCGTCCGCTCGTCCGCTCGCCCACTCGCTCTCTACCTCCCCCCACTCGTGTACCTCCCGTCGTTCTGACATGTCCTTCTCCCGGGCTTTCTCCCGGGATCGCCCTCTCGCTCTTCCTCAGCTGAACAGCCTCGTGGCTGCCGGCCACCTCGGTGTCAAGACCAACCAGGGCTTCTACAGCTACGAGAACGGCCAGCTTGTCAAGGGCAGCGAGTACAAGCTCTCCAAGTAATGCCCCCACCCCCGGGGCGCCGACACACTACTCTGTTTCCTCTTCTCTCCTGTATGTGCTGCCTGCCTCGCAGCAGTCACAAGGCAATACACCACCCCGAGGTAGGCATCTACGCCTGTGCGCCTCTCCCTCAATCAACTAAAGCTCCCTCGGTCGGCTGGGATGGCAGGCAGAGGCGAGGGCGGGGGCGGGGGCCGGGGCCGGGGCACTTTGCTGTGAGGGAGCAGTCCGAGGTCATCGCGCCAACGCTAGAGTGATTCGCAGCCCGAGCGAACGAGTGGTTGTCACCCAAGCTACCGTCGACCGACTCAGCTATCGCCAGCCGCCTCAGCTATCGCCGACCTACCACCAGCTATTGGGCCCCAATCAGGCTGGATGGCAAACTGCCAATGTATGGCACTGCCCTGTCACCTCGACCGGGCCTCCGACCGGGGGGCGGCACGGCGACTGTTCGTGAACAAACAGGCGTGCCCTTCCCCCCCCCCCCCCCCCGCCCAACAAGCCCTGGCGGACAGTTCGAGTGCAGGG